GAGACAGAGAGAGAGAGAGAAGGATGGCAAGTGTGGGAGACACATGATGTGATGTGTTTTTCCCTGCAGCATCTGTGAAGAAAGCCGTTTCAGTTGCAGGTGTTCTGTAATTTAATTTCTGTTGTTTTTCATGGGGAGGGAGACAAATGGAGGGAAGGAAGGGCAACAACGTAGCACCTGCTTTGTATCTGTAATCTATGAGCAGGATCGTGGGCGGTGGGTCTCACTGAGCTGTCGCAGAGGACAGTCCTTGTGCATGGCATTGCCTGTAGTAGTAACTCCATGTACTTAAGAGAACTCCCTCCTAGACTCTACGAAGCTTTTGCTTGTGGCCCCAAGGCTAACCTAGGGCCATTAGCAGCCTTTGAAACTACAGATAGCAGCACTGCAGTGGCTATGCATTCCATATGAGACTAAGCATAGTACACGCACAGTCATATACAGTCTTTGTCTGTAACTTTTCTATTCTCCCTCCAGTTTGTCTCTAATTCCTTAAAGCACACACATTTCAGAAACAGAATAATTGTCTGAGGGGTTTTACTATTTAAAAAAAAAAATGTGTGTGTGTGCGTGTGCCTGTGTGATAATTTCCTCAGTTTGAGCAATTCTTTTGGAGTGCTGGAGTTTTAATAGAATCCAACGGGTTATCAGTTGAGGCGCAGTGCCGTTCGCACCACTCATGTAATTGTCAAGTCAGACGTTTCTACACAGCCACTGTTCTTTTCAACTGGAAATGGACTTTTCCGTTTTTTAAAAGGCAGCCTCTCGCCCGAGACGTCTCCCACCCATTGTCATTTCACTCTGTGTTTGTCAAACTCTGGGATTGTCCGCTACCCACAGTGAACTCATCTTTGATGAAACATAAAACATGTTTTTAAGGTATTTTTGTGTGTGTGTGTTTGTCCCTGTCTCCTGCCTGTCATTCTTTCTCTGCCGTGTCTAAGTGTGAAGCATTTCTTTTTACTCAAAAAGAACTAAAAAGAACCGAAAGGACTATATTGAATTTGAAATATGTGCATGTGAGCCCATTTTTGCTCATTTTCACGCAAGGTGCTTTTAACTACCCTTCTCATTAAGTACAACACCTCCTCTACATAAGTTGCCCAACAAATTAGATTTACATTGTTGTAAAGCACATAAGCATCAGTAATTGGGAGGTGAAATTGGTTCTGATTGCTGGGCAAAGTCAATAAGCTGATGGAGAAAGAGCTCCGGAGAGGTTGTGGTTTGCTGTACTAAGCACATAATCTGGTGGCTGATAGAGCTTTCAGAGGTGATTTGTTCAGTCCTTTTTCCTGGTAAACCTGTGAACACCTCACGTATTATCTTACAGGCTGCACTGTTATGTCCTTGAGCAATTAATCAAGACATAGGTTTAAAGGTCCGGTGTGTAAGATTTAGGGATATCTTTGCAGAAATGGAACATAATATTCAGATTGATGTTTTTATTCGTGTATAATCACCTTAAAATAAGAATTGTTGTGTTTTTGTTACATTAAAATGAGGCATTTTTGCCCATTTTAGAGGGACTAAGTCCTCCCTACAGAGTGTGTCATGTTGTAACGTCATGTTCCTACAGTAGCCCAGAACAGACAAACCAAACAAGAGACTTGATTTTTAGATTTTTGGGTTGTTGGGTAATACTCACTACATAAGAAAAAGTGCTATGATTATGCTATAGTGCTGCAACCCTGATGATGATGATGATGATAGTAACCCTTTGACATGTGCTGCATTGTGCTTATATTGGAATATACGGCTTAACAACAATCTAGTGTTGACTCCTAAAATCTTAGTGATTGATACACATTAGTCTGCTGTGTTCCCAGAAAATCTTTGTGGGAAATTGCTGAAACAAGTGAGCGTGTTTTGAAAACTGCTGGATTTATCTCAGCCCACAGGCAGTTTTGGTGTCAAGAGAAATGATATTGTTTTGTTTTTTCCAGTCTTGTGGAAAGTGACAAAGGAGAGCTTCGACTACATGAGTAAACATTGCGTCTGTCATCAATCAATCTATTAGTCCAGCTGTGGAGGGATGTTTTCTGTTGGTTTGATATAGACAGGAGAAAGAAGTAGAAAACGTGGAGACAACAGGGTTTAGTCAGAATTTAGATGTTATTCTGTCTGGGATTTTACTGCACTTCACATTGTTTTAATTGAATGTGAATTGACCTGCTCTCATGTTCATTGCCGCTGAAAAAACATTTGTCTATGGCAGCTGTAGTTCTTGTGTTCTTTGTCCAGCGCGGTATTGATTTGTCCTTCTCATTAAGACACAGGTCACGGTGACCAGCAGGACCCCATGCATTCCCTCCTCTACTTCACACAAACACACAATGAAGGCGATGCTGTGAGCAGTTATGCTTCCCCACGCTCACCTATAATGGCCATAACCTCCGCAACCATAGCTGGACCAATTACAGTGACACCCATTCTGGAGAATTGCCTTGAGACATGCGGGTTGGGTATCGTTTAGATTTTATTGATTTAGATTCTGCTTATAGATTCTGGTTTTTCTTGTATCCTTGGTCTGATTGTTGCCATCTTAAGTACTAAAATAAACTAAATTATATGGAAATCTAAAGCTAAACCACATTTAATTTCAGCATATTTTAAGAAGTCAAGTTCAACTTTATGTTCCTTAAATAATCGGGATGCAACTAAGTTGGATGTTCGACACCTGTTTTTACTTGCTCTACTTGAGTTGAATGTCCCTTTTACTCCCTGTCTTTTTATTTACACTGGTATGCCTACTGTTGCTGTGTTTTATAGAGTAATGACCACACTGTCGGCTTGCCAACCTCTAAATTAAGCTTTAAATTAATCTCTAAATTAAGTATGTATGAAGCAAACTATTTTGCATATCTATTCCGGTAGCAACCAGTTTTAGGACTTCTTAATGCAACCTAGTATGTTTTATTATATAGTGCTGTCGAGTGTAGCCTAGATGGTTCCTACCACCCTGGTGAGACTGCTTGTCTTTCAGGCTTTTCCACTACTAGTCACTCCCCTCCCTGACAGGCTGACTGGCAGTAGCCAGCCACCAAGTCTACCAGTAATTGAAACTTCACAGCAGTGTAGGCAGCTGTATGTGTTGTCATTGTCATTGTTGTTGGGTTCCTGGGGTTCTGTTTTCTGAGGGGAACATGTTCAGTGTCAGCGCTCACACATGTTCTGCCACTCAGGGAGAACCGCAGTAAAAGAAAGGGGAACTCTGGCGTACACTAGGGGTTTATGGTAGTTAGAAGCACAGCAGTATATATTGAGTCTCATGTTATATGAACTCATGTTGCATGGTGTTTTCACCTTTTTAGTGTACTTTGATCAGCTATTCGGTGGATAGAAAACGAGCAGACATAATTACTGTTTGTATAATTGACGTTTAAATGAGTCTTTGATGATCTATAGTTTTTGGAAAGTTGTATTTGTGATTTTTTATTTAACTCTTTTTGCTGATTATGCCTGCTTGTCTAGAGCAGGAGAAAAGGCGTCATTTCCGAAATCACAGTGCCTACAAATAACAAAGGGTCAGTCTCTGGTCAAATTGACACTGAAAAGAAAATAGTCACTTATCACTGTGTTGTTTTGTCTTCAACGTGCTTGGCAACCTAATGAACAGAGTTACTTAGAGTACACAGTCTGGTGTGTAAGAACTGTGATTGGTGGCTTTATATGGTCAAGATGGCCTCATCAAGAAGTTACTTAGTAGACTAATTACACAGAAATATACTCTTGATTAGTTAACAGGTCAATTAGTGCTTAATTTCCTACCAAAATCAATTAGGAATATGTGATTCTTTGTTGTGGATAGTGGCTGAAGACAAAGCAGACAAAACAAGTGAATGAGTGAGCTCAATATAGTATAATCTTGTCTTTATGTACTAACAAATGATGAGTTTTGACAGAGAGATGTACTAGCTCATGTCATGAACGGGTCATGTACCTCTCTTATTCACAGTCTCCATCCATCTGTCAGTCCACACATCTGTGTTTTAATGAAATCATAGACTTCACCTGTCCCTTCTTTTGATTTTCAACGACTGTGCTCCCTGCGGAGCCAAACTGGCCTAGTGGCCAATCAATCACTGGCCACAGGTTTTCA